TGAGAACCACGCGGAAGATNTTGGGGTCCCTCATGCAGCCGACCTTGGACTGCATGTCGATCTTGGCGCGCAGCACGCACTTCTGGCCCTCGGGCGAGCCGAGCTTCATCTCTTGCCACTGGCGGAGGCTCTCCTCGATGGGCTGGTTCCGGAAGGGGGACTCGATCATCGCCTTCCTCATGGCCTTGAGCTGCACGAGTACAACAATAACAACGGTTAACATATTATTGGCGTAAGCGAAGAAATGAAGAAAAAGAATGAAGGATTTACCTCCTCGTTGGGGGTGGTGTCGATGTAGGCGAGGCCCTTCTTGATGAGGTACTCGGCCTTCTCGATGATGAGGTCAAAGTAATCGGACGTGTAGGTGATCTTCGCCGGCACGATGCCCAGGGTGGCCAGATCAGCAGTGATGCTGTCCACAAACTCGTTCTGTTGTAACGCACACACAACACGACCATAATTCAGAAGAAGAAAAAGAAAGAACGAAGAGAGAGAGAAAATACGTACGCTCTCCTTGGTGGGGTTGGTGTCGTCGAAGCGGAGGATGAGCTTGCCGTTGTACATGTGGGCATAGTGGTAGTTGAGCAGAGCGGCCTTGACGTGGCCCATGTGGAGGTAGCCCGACGGCTCCGGAGGGAACCGAGTGACGACCTTGCCCTCCTCAGCGCCCTCGAGCTCCTGGTACTTGGCCTTGGAGGCCGCCTTGCGCCCACCGGCAGCCGCGCCGGCCGCGGCCGCAGCCTCCTCGGTCTTGACAGTACCGCCGGCGTACTTGGTCGACACCGCCACGAACTGAGGCAGCGAGTCCACGTACTTGAACCACCTGGAGCTCACACGTCAACAAACCGCACACGACACAGACCCAATCGCACACGCACACGGCGCACAAGACACAGAACGCACAGTCATAGAAAGAGAGAAGTACCGGACGAGGTGCTCGTTAGCATGCTTGGTCTGAGAGGCCTTGGCCCAGAGGGGGTGGAGCTTGAGGGCGCCCCACACGCCGATGTCGGCCAGGGTGACGCCGTAGCCCACGAAGAACGTGCGCAGGGTCAGGTGGGCGTCCAGCAGGCGGAGGGCGGCGTTGAAGGCTTCCTCGTCGGTGACCTTCTTCGACAGACGCACCAGCGCCAGCTCGAGCCACTGGTCCACCTGTGATGCATCAATTAGCGGAGGCAGCCACAAAGGACATTAGAGTTGATTAATCGTGCTACTCGCGTAGTACAACGCGAATTGGGATTTCCGTACGTTGCTCTGGGCCTTGGCATCCTCACCAGCAAGACCCTTCGAGGGGTCCTGCCTCGAGATGTAACGCGCGATCACGTGATCGCCCCTCAGCACGTCTCTGCATAGAACCCAGAACAATCAAAAAATGGCCTAGAAATCTTGCGCTTGAAAATTTGGCAGAGGATAACGAGACGAAGTAGAGCCAAGATGAAGAAATTGAGGAGTGCTGCTTGTACCCTTGCGGGAAGAAGGCAAGTTCGGTGATCTCCTGATCCTTG